AAATTCCGACACTGCGATATTCCGACATTCCGATTATATGACATTCCGATAATCCGACATTTCGACACTCCGATACTCCGACATTCCATTTTTTTCCTAAAATTGTAACAAAATTTTTTTAACCAAAATTTTTTTGACCAAAAATTTTTTTCTTAAAATTTTTTGGACCAAAATTTTTTTGACCAAAAATTTTTGAGTCCAAAATTATTTTGACCAAAATTTTTTTGACCAAAATTTTTTTGACCAAAATATCGAAGTGTTGGAGTGTCGGAGTATCGGAGTATCGGAGTGTCGGAATATCGGAATGTCGGAATATCGGAATATCTGAAAAAAAATTTTTGGTCAAAAAAATTTTGTTCAAAAAAATATTGGTCAAAAAAATTTTTGGTCAAAAAAAATTTGGTCAAAAAAATTTTTTGACCAAAAAAATATCGGTCAAAAAAATTTGGTTCAAAAAATTTTGGTCAAAAGAAATTTGGCCCAAAAATTTTCGGAAAAATCTTTGGGCAAAAAAATTTTTGGTCAAAAAAATTTTGGGAAAAAAATTTTTGTTAAAAATAATTTTGGACCCAAAAATTTTGGGAAAAAAATTTTTGGTCAAAAAAATTTTGGTCCAAAAAATGTTAAGAAAAAAATTTTTGGTCTAAAAAGTTTTGGTTAAAAAAATTTTGTTACAATTTTAGGAAAAAAAATGGAATGTCGGAGTATCGGAATGTCGGAATATCGAAGTGTCGAAATGTCGGATTATCGGAATATCATATTATCGGAATGTCGGAATATTGAAGTGTCGGAGTATCGGATTGACGGAATATCGAAGTGTCGGAATATCGGAATTTCGGATTATCGGAATGTCGGAGTATCGGAATGTAGGAATATCAAAGTGTCGAAGTATCGGAGTGTCGGAGTATCGGAGTGTCGGAATGTCGGAGTATCGTAATGTCGGAGTATCGGAGTATCGGAATGTCGGAATATCGAAGTGTCGGAGTGTCGGAGTATCGGAGTATCGAAATGTCGGAGTATCGGAGTGTCGGAGTATCGGAATATCGGAATATCGGAATATCGGAATATCGGAATATCTGAAAAAAAATTTTTGGTCAAAAAAATTTTGGTCAAAAAAATTTTGGTCAAAAAAAATTTGGTCAAAAAAATTATTTGACCAAAAAAATTTTGGTCAAAAAAATTTGGTCCAAAAAATTTTTGGTCAAAAATATTTTGGTCAAAAAAAATTTGGCCCAAAAAATTTTCGGAAAAATCTTTGGTCAAAAAAATTTTGGTCAAAATAATTTTGGACCCAAAAATTTTGGGAAAAAAAATTTAAAAAAAAAAATTTTTGGTCTAAAAAATTTTGTTACAATTTTAGGAAAAAAAATGGAATATCGGAGTATCGGAATGTCGAAATATCGAAGTGTCGAAATGTCGGATTATCGGAATGTCGGAATATCGAAGTGTCGGAGTATCGGAATATCGAAGTGTCGGAATATCGGAATTTCGGATTATCGGAATGTCGGAGTATCGGAATGTCGGAATATCGAAGTGTCGGAGTGTCGGTGTATCGAAGTGTCGAAATGTTGGATTATTGTAATGTCAGAGTATCGGAGTATCGGAGTATCGGAGTATCGGAGTATCGGAATGTCGGAGTATCGAAATGTCGGAGTATCGGAGTATCGGAGTATCGGAGTGTCGGAGTGTCGGAATATCGGAATGTCGGAATATCGGAATATCGGAATATCGGAATATTTGAAAAAAATTTTTGGTCAAAAAAATTTTGGTCAAAAAAATTTTTGGTTAAAAAAATTTTCTGACCAAAAAAATTTCGGTCAAAAAAATTTGGTCCAAAAAATTTTTGGTCAAAAAAAATTTGGCCCAAAAATTTTTCGGAAAAATCTTTGGGCAAAAAAATTTTTGGTCAAAAAAATTTTGGTCAAAAATATTTTTGGTCAAAAAAAATTTGGTCAAAAAAATTATGGTCAGAAAAATTTTGGTCCAAAAAATTTTTGGTCAAAAAAATTTTGTTACAATTTTAGGAAAAAAAATTTGGTCAAAAAAATTTTAGGAAAAAAATTTTTGGTCAAAAAAATTTTGGTCCAATTTTAATTAAGTCATAATTTAGTACATTAATATGAAGTGAACCTGGGTTTTCCTTTTGAAATTCTATGTTATTTGTCAAATTAACTACTCAATGTAAAAATTTGGCCCAAAAAATTTTCGGAAAAATCTTTGGGCAAAAAAATTTTTGGTCAAAAAAATTTTGGTCAGAAAAATTTTGGTCCAAAAAATTTTTGGTCAAAAAAATTTTGGTCAAAAAAATTTTGTTACAATTTTAGGAAAAAAATTTTGGTCAAAAAAATTTTAGGAAAAACATTTTTGATCAAAAAAATTTTGTTCAAAAAATTTTGGTCCAATTTTAATTAAGTCATAATTTAGTACATTAATATAAAGTGAACCTGGGTTTTCCTTTTGAAATTCTATGTTATTTGTCAAATTAACTACTCAATGTCTTTCTATGTAGATAGATTGTAATTTATAAAAAAATAAAAAAAATAAAAAATGGCTACATAAAAAATTTGTGTACTTGGTATGAATTTATATATACGAAAGATAAAATTAAATTTTAAAATCAAAATATATTTTCAATTTGTTCAAGTGTTCTATTATACATGTATATATATTCTCCTTCGGGATGTTAAATAAATAAATAAATAAATAAATATATATATATATATATATATATATATATATCCCCATTATAATCTGAAAATGATATATGCAATGAACTTTATATAAATCTAACAACAACATTATGAAAGGGAATATTGCGGGATGCAACAATTCTTTGGGTTCCAGTAGCCCTTCACTAATTATTTTAAACTTCTATATTCCAATTTACGAAAATTACTAAAAAATAGGTAAATCAAATTTCTGACTGGTTGGCATAAATGCTTTAAGGTCAGTGACAAAACTCGACTTGAAATATTCACAAGAAAAGTGATATTTAATACTAAAGTTAATTGCGAAGCTTTATGAGAACAGAGTTTTAAATAAGGCTTTAAAAGCAGAAAAATTGTAAATATGATGTGAATTTTTTACTCACTGTCAGTAACTATGGCTAAAGATGAAATTAATTTAAAATAAACAAATTTTTATTGTATCCTTGAATAGTACAAGGTTGACACTAAGCGCGGCTTTTACTCTTATTGTTAGATTGCTTCAAATGATTCTTTAGGTTTGTTGAGTTTGAGGTAGTAATGTATAGTGAGAAATTTAGCTGTAGATTAATAGAAAATTCTTTTTTGATCGGTTATGTAGTGTTGTTGAAAGATGGAATATCAAAACAAACATTTTAGTCAAATTTTGAATTTTGATTTCTGCAAATGGTAAAACGATCATCCCAAAGAATAGGTGCTGTTTATGGTGTCGAAGCCTTAAAAAACAGCTATGTTAAAATTAGTTTTGAAAATGTCATTCCGGTGATTTTCCACTCAATGCTGCTCTGATTGTCCAGTTAAAGTTTTGGACAAACTAATTAAAGCAATAATCGATTGGGCTAATAGAAACAATTTGGCTACGTTTAGAAATTATTGGGGGCTGGTGAAAATTTTTCTCCACATCCACCAAATGTTCCTGACCACAAACCATCTGATTTAAAACACTTGAATTTAAAAGTTTTTGCTAATAAAAACTAGAAGTTTTATAAATTTGGGATAATGATGCTTCTTGGAAAATAACAGAAGGCCATCGATCAAAATTGTATACATAACAAAGTTATTTAATTCTACGCAAAAATTGTCTTTGATTTTCTGACAAAAATGCGCACTTACTTAGTTGCCAACGATTACTAACAATTTCTAGAAATATATGCACACTTACTTAGATGCCAATCTGATAACTAAAAAAGATTTAACAAAAAAAATATATAAAATTAAGATATAATTCCGCTCTGAGTTAAAAAAATGTCAAGTAGATTCGTTCAGAAATGGCTTTATGAAGAAACTGAAACCAAATGCCCAAATGTAATCATATGTACAAAAATTTGCTATAATTTATTGAAAAAAAGAAAAAGCTTAGATTAGAACCTAATATAAAATCTTTGTTTTAGCTTAAGTATTGCATTCAATAAATTTCGAAAAAAAACAGTAATAAAAATTAGTTTGAAATTTCCGTATGTCGGCTTATTCCGAAATTTTACTTATGATGTTTAATAACAATTTAATAGCGATTTCATCTTAATAGCTATCATTCACATTTTTCTGGGAGAAAAAAAATGTATGGGGGGGGCGGCATAACGTTTTTATAAACCTCAAGGTGGGGCGGGGCCCAAAAAAGGTTGGGAATCACTGGTGTAAACAAAAGAAATGATACCTCCTTACTCTGCGAAAATTACCAAGTTATACTTAATAACGTTTCTTAATTTATTTTATATTAGAAATAATAATAATTTAAATTTTAAAACAAATCCGTGTAATATCGCCGCTAAATTTATTTGTTTTTTTTTTAATTATTTTTTATTAATTGTTTAAAACTAAATCCGTTCATGTAAACCTTACCTAACCTTATACAGTCAATTCCGAACATAAAAAACCTAGCCGGTCTTTCCGACAAGTGAGTCAATTTTTGATTTCGAAATCATTCAAATTGGGACGTTCGTTCTCTCACAAACTGAATTGCCATTTTCTGCACTTTTTGTCTTGTATCTTCAAAACGGCTATATGTGCCTTTACCAAAAACTAATCAGCAGGTCTCCCCATCAATATGAATCGAATCTTTTTTGATTCATTAAAATCGGCTGTTTCGGTTCACCCACAAACATGCACACACACACACATCCAATTTTCAAAGCATTCCAAAATGTTCAGGAGATTTTAAAATGTAAATTATGGAAAAAATTCATTTTCAATCTTTTTGCTATTACTATAACTTATCCTATGAGAAGTTAATTAGATATTTTGTAAGTCTTAAGAGCAAAGAATTATCAAGAAAAAAAACAACATATAATTGGAGTATAGTAATATAGAAATATATGTATAAATTTAAACACATCCATATTTATTTAAAATTGATCACATCAGCTGAACTAACATTTCCCCAAACCACATGATGAAAATAGGAAACAGATATCCCATAAGAGCTCGAGAAGTGTCATTTCAGTTTTTCTGCTTGAATTATTTGAAGTGTTGTCATAATGTAAGTTATTTAAATCTGGTCTATCTAAAATGTTAGTATGCATATTTCTTAAGTCATCAATAGCAGTACTCTTTGTTTCTAAATCATTTGTATTAAGAGGACTTTCAGGAATACTGCCCTCTCCATATATATCAGGTATGAGGACAGAATCAACATCATAATTATTGTTCCCAGAAATGTTTTCTTGTTGCGTATCGCCTTCATGCGTAGGAAAAAAGCTACTTCCAGATCCTGAGCCAGAGCTGTCAAAAGCATCTTCTGAAAACGCAAAGTTCCATGTAATTCAAAAGTATAAAAAATTAAAACATACATAACAATCACTTTAATTACTGTAATGTGTGCATAATCAATATATTTATTCTTCTTTATTAATACTTATAACTTTTATGCTTTTATTACTTACTCAGTAGCTTTAAAAATCTTAAGCACTCAATTTGAAGTTGATGTTCACATAAAATTTGCTTTCTTTAATATTATTATATATTTTTATTACTTAACTAAGTATTTTAAAACTTTGAGTTTCTGTTATAAGTACTTTGTTACCAAGTAATAATTGCTATTAATTATGTAGAAGTCATAATAACAGATATAAATCAAATTACCATATTCTGGCCATACTACATCTAGGCCATTGTAAGCATTTCTCAAGTTAGCAACTAACGTACGTAATGATAATATTTGTTCTTCCAATATTGTATAGGACTTATTTATGCTGATTTCTGATTCTTTTCGGAGACTTTCTGTATCTTTGCTCATTAGCGACTGATAATATCTGCAATGTAACGCATATAGGTATTAGCAAACCTCAATGAGAAACCATTCCTATATTATACAACTCTAAAGTGTTAATGGTATACTACAAAAATTGATTTTGTATCAATAATCCAAATAATACTTCCTTGAATTTTGAAAATTTAAAAAAATGCGCTCAAAACCATGCTATATTGTTTAAAAAATCATTTCTTCGCATAGTTTTATTAGAATTATTAATTATTAATTACAAAAATTTGTGAAAGTTACATTCAGAAAAATAAAAATAAAAAATGCACTGCGTATATTAAAATATATATTATAATGACTTACAAAATTAAACAAAAATTAAAGTTAACATATTACCATTATCATTGAATTCAATATATATATACATTGATATATTGAGAAGATATATATATATATATATATATATATATATATATCTTCTATATATATATAAAAATAAGTCGGGTTTTCCTTCCTGACGAAATAACTCCAGAACGCACGAACCGATTTCGACAATTTTGCATTCGTTGGAAAGGTCTCGGGCTCCGCGAGGTTTATAGCTAAGAAAATTAGTTGTGCATGGCATCGTGCATTAATGCAAGCTGCTGGAATTTCACGCACCGTAATTAAAAATTCGAGTAATGACATTAGTGAGAATTATCAGAATTATGCTTGGTTAAGTCAACGAGCAATTCTTGCCGCAAAGAATAATGATGCACACGCACTGAATTTCACCATTAAATCAAAAATTGCTGGCGATTTGGTGACATATCAATGATTCCGACTGGTCTTCCGTTTGACTTCAAACGATTGCAATTTTCAGTTCGCCTTGCGTTCGCAATAACAAGTCGCAAGGCCAATCGCTTAGTGTTTGCGGGATAAATTTCAAATAGATTATTTAGAAAATCATTGTTTTTCACACAGGCAGTTATACGTTGCCTGTTCACGAGTTGGAAAACCATCCGCTTTGCTTGTGTTAACGTCAGACCAATAAACAAAAAATGTGGTTTACCAAAGAGCACTTCAATGAAACGGATAATTTGCGGATTCACTTTCATTTACTTAGAGAAGTTCAACAAAAAAACACTTCATTTTTGATATCGAAATAAAGTTATTACTGTTGTATAATAAAATCACATTTTTCCTTTTCAAATATAAAACAAACAAAGGGGGCAAATAGATGCAATTTTTTCTATTAAATATTAAAGGAATTTTACGCTACATTATTGAACCAATGCAAAATATTAATTTTATGGCTACATTTGTTACAAAGATAACACATTATATTACATTGATCTGCTATTGGTCAGAAATATGCATCAGAAGAGCCGGAATAACAATTTATTTAATTATTCTCTTGTAAAATTGCTTTTTTTTGAAACTTTACTATTTTATTTTTTTTTTTTAAATTTAAAAAACTTATTTTAAAAATTTCTTAAAAATAAAAAAAATAAAATTTACTATTTTATTTTTACACCTTTGCCAAAGTAAAGCAAAGTCATAAGAATAAAGGTAATGACTGGTTATACATTTTTACATTTTTTGCCCTCTACTATCAAATATTGTTGTTAAAAAAAATCTAATTTCATTTGTTTGAGATATCCGTGGTGGACCATTAATAATTAGTCTACGCTAGCCATAAATGTATATATATATGGGTTTTTTTAATGTTGGTAATCTGTGATTTTTGATTGATTTCTTTACATAATTTTATTGTGAAAACAGTCCCTGGTGCTATTGTGCACAAAAGACATAGCAATTGCTTTCATAGACTTGGCCTCATCATGTAAAATCATGTCGGTCATTATAATTGGACATAATTTTTTGCAAAAATGGGTCATTATAAGCGACATGTGAATGTAAGCGATGTCAATATATCCGACTAGACACCTGTTTTTTTTTAAGGAATTTTATATGGAAACCAAACTTCCTAGTGCGATTACGTCATAATAAGCGGTTGTCAGTATATCCGGCATCATACTAATCGGATTATACTGTGTATATATATATATATATATATATATATATATATATGTGTGTATATGTATATATATAATCTAAATTTAATATGTTCTAATTTACTAAATTACACACCTTCCGATCATTGTTCCATTCCAGCAGTCATTGTCTTTATTATTAGATAATGCAAATTCATTATTGTTGCATATTTTGTGTGGAAGTTGACTCCAAAATTTAGTTGAATCTTTAACTTTTGTTCTAATATTTTTAATTATTTTAGCTAAATTTGGCCGATCATCGGTTGGTAACTTTACTTCACCACTTTTTTTATTTGTGTAATATTTTCTACTAGAATTCTGTTTGCCTCCTACATGACTTTTCATTATGCTACTAGATTTTGGAAAATATAAGTGTTCCAACTCTAGTTCTCGAGATGTAGCACTTTTCTTTTCTCTACTATTAAAAGAAGGTTCTTCAACATTTATTTCAAAATCGGAATCACTATTTATAAGTTGCTCATAATGATGTTGAATTGATAAAACCTACAACACAGAAATGTTTACAATTATTATCTATTTTAGAAGCTCCGGTTTTTGGTGAAAAACCTAATTGATTATGTGCAACAGTTGTTTGAATATCTCTTATCCAGAATTAATATTAAATATTTATTCGTGTATTTTATGTATGCTATGTTATAATCTAATAATATTTTGAAATCAGATAACATAAATGCGCATACATAGTGTTTATATATTATATATATTATAGAATTAATTACTACTGTTAAATATTTTACCGATGGCTTTTTAGTAGTCACATGTCTTTTCCAACGTCCTAGTTTTGGATGGCCACATTTTTCAAAAATTTGCTGACTTACAGCATGACCATTCTCTTGGAATGTCATTATAGCTTCTGAAATTTTAATATCAATTGGTCCAACAACCATTTCTATGTTGAATGGACCAATCAAACGTTCCGAAACTTTTTCCATTGCCACTGAAAATTGGTTAGAAAAGTATGTCAAAAACATTCAACTGAATTTGTATATACAAAGATATCGAAATATCAAAATATCAAAATATCAACTTATATATATATATATATATATATATATATATATATATATATATATAAATATACCTACCTACAAAGTTATTCCACTCACTATCAAGACCAACTTGCACAATGAGGCAATCTTTCGCCACATTGATGCAAAAATTACCGCAGGCTTTTTGAAGAAAACTATTACAAATTCCACAATATTGCATCTGCATTAAAACATGTGCACAATCCTTTTTAGGCTTTATCTGAAAATTCAAACTAAGACCTATATTTGCACTTTAATCTAAGAATTATTTTCAAAAAAAGAATTGCAATTATTTTTCGAATAATAGGCGCACATATATAAACCCTCGATAAAAAAAACTCAAAGATAAAAAATTATGCGTTTAATTATTATCATAAATAATTTCCCCATATATATATATATATATATATATATATATATATATATATATAATTCTATAACGTTTTGAATTTTACGTAATATTCAAAATATTACGTTTAAAATAGTATATATATATATATATATATATATATATATATATATTGCAAATTTAAACTTTAATATTTTGAATATTACGTAAAATTAAAATGTCAAAAAATGTTTATAAATCGTGTGATATTTTCAGTATATGGATTGAATTTGTAAATATAAACGAAACTGGCGCCTGAAAAACCAACATGTGTTTTATGTTTATAAGCTGAACTATTTTAAATGTAAGCGTTATACTGCATCTGGAATATATATATATATATATATATATATATATATATATATATGGGGATATTTTAGTTTATTTATGTAGTAATTTCTTGCTTAACTCTGGTTTCGTTTAGCGCCGTTTTGAGTTAGCCCGGAGATTCTTCAAAATAGGGGAAAAACTTTAGCAGACAACAATAAAAAAAAAACTATTCTTAGTATTGATTTTGAAGAAAAGCAAAAAGGACTATCAATGGTGTTTGCAAATAGATCTTTGATTGAAATTATTTACCAATTTTTTGACATTAATCCAAATATTGAATGTGCTATAGACGCCTTTTAAAAAACTTATAAAAAAACACAAACTACCTTACATGCTTTTAGGCGAATAAACGATTTTAGCTGAATGTACTTTATTGTATAGTTTGCTATGAAGAATGACAAATTAGGACTCGAATGAAAAATAAGGAATCTTTTGCCCTAATTTTAAAACTGTTATTGAGCTGTTATACGATGATTTCAATAACTTAAAATTATTGAAAGTTCATTTATAACTGCTTTGTTATATTAACTTTCCGTAGGACAAGTTATAGTAATCGGAAAAAAGTCAAAAATGAAAAGTTTTATATATCTTTACGTTTAAGAGATTTCTGAACCTTTTGGCATACATAGAACAAATGAATTTATGTGTGTGTGTGCGGATACAAATTTTCGTCGGCGATTTCGTGAACACGGTTCAACCGATTTCAATTATTCAAAAAACATTCGATTCCTATTAATAAGGAGACGTGCTGATTAGTTTTTGGCGAAGGTAGGTCTAGCCGTCCTGAAGATATGGAGCAAAAAGTGCCAAAAACGGTAACTCAGTTTTTGAGAGAACGGAGCGTCCGAATTTTAATAATTCAACATTTTGCTTGTATTGACAAGATGAAGAACTGATAAAATTTTTGGAAAGGCGGTTTCGGAGATCTAGTAACAAAAAAGTTTAAAAAATGCTATTTTGAGGTCAAAAATGATCATTAGACATACGCACATCGAATTATCAGATGTTTTATGGAGATTTTAATAATGTGTATCAATTTTGTTTGCATTTCTATGGGTTTCGTAACATCGTTTGCCCATTAGACGGCGACGCGGCGCTTACGAGCTTCGATATTCCGTCTTATACAGCCAAAAGCAGTGCGATTGCTTGGAAACAAAAGTTCAAAATTTCCAAAATATTTCAAAATAAAAAAAAACATTTTTTTTTCAAAACAATCATTTTTTTTTCAAAATTTAAAATTTCTCAAAAATCTAATTTTTTCAAAGTGTAAAACAAATTTAATCTTTTTTAAAAAATTTAATTTTTGGTACGGGAAGTTCCAGCAATTTGCCTTAAGGCACGATGCCATACACCACGAGTTTCATATTTTATTGAGTTTGGCTCAATAACACTATAAACAGCTATAAAAGTGTCAACTATAAGGGTGATATTCTCAATTCTAGAAGTACCTGTAAATAAGTTTAAACATAGTAATTACTTACGGCAAGCATATTCCTAATAAGATCGCTAGCTGTGCTGAGAGATCGCACATACGTGCGCGTTGCAATGAATGCTCTTTTCACTTGCACGGAGAATTTACTGGGAACATCTCCGAAAGGCTTCAGGTCTGTCATGTGTTCACTGACACATCTTAAATAGCTGAAAATATCGAAAACCCTAAGATCCTGTACATGTTATAATTATATCCATCAAACCGTAAACTATGGATTGGATAGACCAAGTCTATAAAATCAATGAGTATAAAAGTTTTTTGTTACCTCGCATATTATTTATCAGCATTTGGTAATGAATTTTATTTTTATGTATGACAATGATAACTGATTAACCCATTCGAGACGGCGATTTTTTTCGGAGGCGGTCCCCAGAAGCAATTTGATTTTTGTTTATATTGTTCATTTTTAATAAAAGAACTTGTTTACTACGGAAATCACCCAATTCGTAAGCAAATTTGCATAAATAAATGATTGCACACCGTGTGTGCAACTCACTCCTCAGATTTTTTTATTGCGAGGAGCGGATTGAATATCATATGTGCAATGTAAGGTAAAATAAAAATACATCATTAAAATTGATGAAAATTTATTTTAAAAATAATTAGATAATATAAAATCTTTATGTTGCTTTCAATTATGAAAAACATAATATAATACAAATAAAGTTTTAAGTAGTAAAAAGTCAAAAAAAATATATAAACAAAATAATGAAGAAAATAATATGAACAAGAAATAAATTTTTAGAAAAATGTCTGAAGGTAATAAAGTAATGTAACTCAGGCGATACTATTGCTGAAATTGCTAAATTTTTATTGGAGATAAATTTGAAAAATAAAATTAGATACATATGGGTTCTTAGGTTGATATTTTCTAAAAATGTAGAATTTGAAATTCCAAACAAAATGTTTTGTTTTGTTTTGGTACGCAATAAAACCAATGCCAAATTTTGTTTTTCTATACTTTATAGATACTATTAATTTAAAAAATCTTATTTCGACGACTATTGTACTCAGAATAACTGATAATTGCTCATAATTATTATTGCACACAGGGTGTGCAACCGGTCTTATAGCCTCGGAAAGCTATACGGTGTACAATCGGTCTCGAATGGGTTAAAATACATGACTTTATTGCTAAATTGCAATATTTGATTCTGCAAATAAAATGTGGTAAAAGTGTTATGTGAATTGTTATTTCATTTCGTTGACTGTACGTACTAAGGTAGTACGCTATCTTCAGTTCTTTTTTCTATAAATTTAATATCGTCATGAATAATACAAGTATCCAGAATACACTTAGTTAACTAATAGAACAAGCACAATAATCGCAGTGTAAAGCAAAGTGAAATAATTGAAAAAAATCATGAAAAAATATGAAGCGAAACTAATCTGCATTTGTATCATAAGCTATACAAAAATTTAAGAGGTAACACCATTGTAAGTTTTGTATGATTCAAAGAAACGCCAATGGCACAAATTAGTTTCAAAAATCCCCTACGTATTTTTCTAGCTATAAGCATGTACAATAAGTGCAGAAAATTATTGTAGTGTCGTCATTTTTTAATAATTTTCTAATTTTCACTTAAATTTACGCTAAATAACATCTATTATTATATACTTTTCTTTCCTTCCAAAGAGTTCAAAAAGCGCGATTTTTAAGCTGTTACAGTGATGTTAACCCTCAAGTACCTAAACCACAAGGAAATCTAGATAACCATATCAATTATCAATTCAATGTGACGTTCATTAAATAATAATATAAATCTATAAAACATGGTCTGATTCGAATAATTTTAATAACGAATAAAACTATATTTTTATATTAAAAATTTCTACTGCTTCAACTATATCCTTAAACAGTTTTCCATAGACTTTATTCATGCATGATTTACTATTACAAATGTTACCTGTCTTCAAAATTGTACTGTGAGTTGAGAACAGTGAACATCTTTTGATAAAGAGTATTAAAGAAATTTTCCATGGCTTCAGTCAAATCCACATTTCCACGTGCATAGTACTTCTCAAGCTCAGCAAATAAATCAGTGAATACATAACTGTTCTGTTCGTAAATCACGCCATATGTGCGACGAAACATAGCATGAAAATCGATCTTAGCACTAGTTAACAACTCATTGAAAAAGTCTAAAAGAAATAATAAGATATTCTTGCAATTAGAACTGATTAATAACAAACATAAAAATACAATTTTCAAACTCATTTGAAAAATAACTTAGTCAAGTTATTCGTGTCGGAGTTGTTGCCCGACTTTTCTAAACTTAAAATAATTCTGATTCTGAATACATTAAACAATATTAATAATAAGAAGAAAAAAGCTTTGTTATCATATTTGTGAAATTGGAAAGTGCAGACCATGTAATTAACGTAATTCTTAAAATGATGGATTTCTAATCAAAATAAGATACTTCGCTGAAAAAAAAACACCTCTAAAAGGAATTCTGATGTTCCGTGCATTGAGCCACCCAATTAGAGTGGCCTAATTGCGTCCAAATGTATGACCGACCGCGTGAATCAACTCCTGATGGAACTCCCCTGAGAGGTTTTTCAAAATTTAACCCTTATTTTTGGGTCAATGCACGGGACATCAGAATACATTTTAGAGATATGGTTTCTTCAGCAAAGTATCTCATTTTGAACCCTGGAATCAGAAAATCACATGTGCCTAAGTGACCTTTAAATCGGCCCGCCCTAATATATATATATATATATATATATTATAATATACATAAATAATAATTTATTTACAAACATGCGTACGCTATTCTAACAATTATTGTATATAATAAATGTTAATTATGTGATCTACCTATGCTTCTATCTATTCTACCAATCTGCAGCAATACTTATAAATCTACCTATCTACTTCTAGATTTCTAGAAATCTATAGAACCATTTAGAAAACCTTTCTATAATCTTTTTTTATTAAATATGTTCAAATGAACTCGTTTAAAAATTGAAGTATATTTATAAACTCAATTCATACAAAAGATAAATAACTTCTTATAGATGAAGTACCTAGCTGCTTAACTGGAATTAATTATGAATATCTCAGAATTATCATTTTCTCAAATTGGAGTAAATTATAAATTATCTTATTCGAACTAAATTGAACAATTTTTCTTAGAAACCGTTTAGGACTTTGAACAAAAACGGCATTTTATTAAAAAAAAAAAAAAATATTATTCAACGTGCACTGAAGTGTTCGTCACTTACTATTTAATGTCTGCGCTTTTGTTTCTAATGTCGATGCTAATTTTGACAAAATTTCCGTAATGGATTGCTCGAAATTCTGCCTCGATAGAGTGCTAAGTTTTTCTTCTACAGCTGCTGAACAGCAAGTTCCGTACGATGTAGTATTTTGAAACAGTCTTTCGTCTCTCATATGCATTGTCCCTTTGCATATTTGTAAATGTGAACCTGGAAAATAATTAAAAGGTTATTAGCATTTGAAAATAATACTCTTAAAACGTATATAAAATTATGTTTCTCTAAATAATAATAGAAAGCGGATGTGTTTTTATATACTATATTATGAACAGGAACTAATTAAAAGAAATCTAGTTGTAGGGCTTAAATAACTGGTAATATTAAAGATACAACACCAAAACCAAATAACAAAATCAAATGACATAACATTCATCACAACCATTTACTAAATGAAGTGAAGCCTAAATTTTCAATTATTTTTCAATAATTGTTTTTGACAAAAATGAGTGATATGGAATTATAGATCAATATTGCAGGAAAACCTGATGATGGAATTTATCGGATTAATTGTTCCACAATTAATTTATTGAAAAATCCAGGTTATATATATATATATAATATATATATATATATATATATATATATATTAGGGTGGTCCTTAATAAGGATGTTTTTGAATTTCCTTGCTCCCAGGGGCTCAAATGCAACCAAATTGATAAAAATTCTCTTAAAGTTTTACTTCTTAATATTAACTCTAACTTAGCCCGCACTTCAACAAAAGCTTCTTGGTTTTTCTTCCTAATTGTAAGTAACTACTTATTTTATGAAATAAATCAAATTTTTGTTGTACTTTTTTTAATTTAATGTCCAAATAAGCAAATACAAAGTTATTCTCAAAATTTTGTTTCACTTGTCGCTAAGTTATAAAACAAATGGAATTTTATTCATGTCATTTACATAAATTTATTAACTTGTGCAAAAGAACTACAAAACAAATAATAATTAAAAAGGAGAGAAAAAAGAGAGCTCAATTGGTTCCAAATTGATAAAAAATAATTACCTGAAAGTTTTAGCTCTTAATATTGTCGTTTAGATAGAGCGCAATTCAAAGTTTTGTATGGAAATAGCATGAAAAAATTTTCATGCCATTTGAGCTCTTGGGAGCAAGAAAATTCGAAAACGTCCATATTAAGGACCACCCTAATATATATATATATATATATATATATATATGTGTGTGTGTGTGTGTATAATATAAAGAGATACAATATTAAGATAACCATATTTGTAAATATCACAATAATGGGTGCTATGCCCGAGGGCAGTTCTGTAGGATGAGTTGAATTCCAACTCAAATAAGGAAAGTAAATATAGAAATTATATATATATATACTAGCTAACCCGGCAAACGTTGTTTTGCCATAAAAAATATGCCTAAATTGATAAAAAATAAATAAAAGTACCAAAAATCAAATATTTAATAGGTTTGGACTCTGATTCTTTGACAAATAGTTAAAACTTGTTATAATTTTCAAAATTGTTTGACCTTTCATACTTCAAAAATTAATTCACTCGCGCATAGTTTTTTGTTTATTACACTTTGGTCATGTCATATATGTTCAATAAAATTTTCTTTCCACATATTATTTATTTTGTTAATAAATTATTAATTATTTTTAAGTCATCAATGAATAATTATATAAATTGTTAACACTTATAATATAAATTTCCGACTATAAATGATATTCGTACTATCCCTGAAACTAACATGGATAAAGTTCTGAGGAATTCGAGTCCAAATCTATGTTTGATTTTTAGCACTTCGAAATTTATATAATATGATATAATATTCAGTTTTCAATCATGATTTAAATTAATTTTGTGATGTTTACCTGAATGAACAACTTAAGCAAATTAAATCTTAATCATATATCAATTAATTCATAAATTTCCCGGAATATTACAAACGTCATTTTCGCATTTGTTTTAAATTCGTAACCGCCTAATTTATTTAAATTTGATAAATTTTATTATTCTGTATATTAATGTGATTTGTTAATATAAGTTGGAATAATTAATGTATTTGTCTTATTTGAATTCGTTAAAACATATTAATTCTTTTGACCTGTCAAAATTTTGTTTATGATTAAAGTTAAATTTAATATGTCGCTTTTTCATTCTGATTTATTTGTTTTGAGACACGTTAGTATCCGAAACTAATATGTTAAGCAAACCAAATAAATTATATAAATTATAAATTTATTCATCTAATACATTCCATAGATATTGATAAATAACATTTCACTTTTTTTTAGTTTTACAACTATCAAATTTATTTAAATTTATAAGCATTATATATTTCTATTATTTTGACTATAGCATTTTGCCTAATTTGGATATAACTGTTGGATATATTATTATATAACCTTCCTTTTTCAATGAGTAAAAATAATATATTTTTAAAATTGTCAATTGTTTTTCAGAAATCATAAATCGTTTTTTTCTCGAAGTTTCCGTAAATATTGACATTTGTCATTTTAGTGTTTTGTTTTTTTTTTAGTAAATTTCTGTCAAATTTATGGAAATTTTATAAAAAATATAAATCTAAATAAATATTTCCTTCTTGGTCGAAATTTAATATAATGTGATATATATTTCTCTATAATGTTTTGTATCT